TKGGGGTCATTAATATCAATGCATGTAGAGTCTGCATTACTGCAGTCAGAGGGTAATTGTAGGAAACCAAAGGAGCTGATTGCAGTATTTATCTGTAGCCAGACACTCAGATGTACACAGCCATTTATTTATCTTTGCCTATATTAATGAGTTTAAGTGCATGGGTGAAGGGAACCTAACAGATGTGTGTATTGCAATTCTTGTGGAATAACAGTATTTTCATGATATTTTACTTCCAAAAGTTATGGCAGTGAAGAAATATGATTGGTTTGGAATTCTAGACAAGCAAGCATCCTTTTGTGGCTGGTTGTGCTCAWAACAATAGAGATGGAGAGAGCCTCAAGGAATTCCACTCTGTTGCATGTGAAAAGGAAACCTTCTRCCTGCTAATTTAGGCTTCTCTAAAGGTTCCATAGGATTCTTTTCAGAGCATATTGATGAAACAAGCTGCTGCTACAGTGTTACTTTGAAATCTCAAAGTGTTTGTCCTTGAAAACTGAAAAATTCAGTTATTTCTAAAGGCTGGGGGATTTTGTGTGTTTTTTTAAAATTTATTTTATTTTCATATGAAGTTTTCTCATCCTACACATCAAGAAGTGMATTGACTGTGTTTAGGAATAAAACTTAGAAAAGGCTGTTACAGTGAAATGTTTTCCAATAATGTTTTCTGTTATTTTCAGAATATATCATTGTTATGCTACAATGAATTCTCTACAAATGAAGTAGAAAAATAATATCTAGTTAACAGGAAATTTTGGTGAAGTTCTTTTATCATATTAGCCTACTCACTCATCCACATTGTCCTGCTTTGTTTCCTGGGTTTATGTATGAATTCTTGGTGGTAATTTTACCTTTTTTTTCTTTTTTTTTCTTTTTTTGGTTTTTGTACAGTAGTTGAATGAATGTGAAGTTCTAAAGGTGGCGTTCTAGAATATCATGAATGCTCCAGGTACTGGTATTACATAAAGACTAAGTAAGAGCCTAATTAGTTTCTCTGGGGGACTTCAGCTGTTCCTGGTAGCACCTTAGAAGTCATTCTTGAAGTTATTCTGCATCAAACAGTCACAGCCAATATGTTTTTTAGCTCCTTCAACTTTAACTGTGCAAAAATATGCACATAGTCAGAACTGGGCTGTGGTACTGAGAAGGGGAGAAATGAAMAAAGGTTATTAGCCAGAGGTGATGGATGCTCTTCTCATTGAACCTCAGCTCAGCCATGGCTGCTGGGCTCTGCACGAGTTGTTATTGCATATTCGGATTATTGTATTTTCTATTGATGTTTTTGCTTAGTAATCCCACTTAGGAATGTGGGGATTTACTGCCGCATTGAGTCCTAAGAAATGTTAAGATTTTAGTCTCCATGCAGCTGTAGTAACCCAAACAGAAAATTTTCAGTCTGCTCTCTTAACCTTGAGATGTAAACGTGCTTGGCTTTGACCAGCCGTGACATAGCATTTGTGTTGGCATCCGTAGTGGCAGTGTGATGCTGTATCATTGTTGCAGCACTTGTATCAACCTTGCCWAGGTGTAGCTTTTCCCTCAACTTTTTATGTTTGAGTTTCTCTTATGCAAATAGGACATAAATCATKGATGCAAATGATTACAGGCATGGATGGCGTCTTCAGCTAAAGTTGAAATGCAAATCCTAAAATGTYGAGAATGCAAATGTGTTTTGTCATTGCTGTTATAGTACAGTAGGAGTAGTTTTGAGCCATAGCTGTTTTAGTAACTGTTTAAGATGTGCCTATCACAAAGAAACTGTGGATTAAAAGATTAAATAGTGTTTTTATTTATAAACAAAASCAAAGAACATAACCAAATAGCCTTTGCAGTCTAGGCAGTATGTTTTTCTCTCTTGCCTTGTGCTGTCTCAATTTCCCTGTTGAATAGTCTGTGCAGATAATTTCATTTAGCATGGTTTGTTATGGAACATGGGTAATTTTGGTTCCCTTTTTTTGTTGGCTGCACTTGGATTGAAATGTTACAAATGCTTCTGCTAAGGAGAAGAAGCAATAACTAAGTCATATAAAAATATTTGTTGAAGACTCTTCTTTTTGAACATTATGTTCTGGATATTCACATTTAATCAGATGTTTGAAACACAGTTTGGTAGATAATGAGGTTTTTCTTTTCTAGAAACAGCTAACTACTTAGTGGATGTGCTCCCTGACTTCAATTAAATGTTTAATTTACAAGCAGCTTTTATACTAAAATGAAATTGCTTGAACTAGAAGAATTAYGTCTGGTACAGGTGAGAGCACCTGTTGACATAAGAATGTATTTTACTTGTGGTAGCTCTGTGTGTGACTTTTTTTTACTTTTTGTTAGCTTATTCTTTTCTCTTCTGGTTTATGCCATTAACATAATTATATCTTTAGTTTTTAAGGTTTTGTGAMTAATAATCGTTAGTTACATTGTTTTCAGCTGCTGATTAGCAGGTCCTTATGACTGMCTGTAACATATAAATTAAGAGAACAAATAATTAAAGTAAGGATTTTGCCAAATGTCAGTTTCCCACATTCTTCCTTTGAATTACTGCTGTGAAATTTAGTAATATGAACACCTCCTACACTCTGCTGTCAAATATTTGCCAGTTGGAAAAGGACCATTCTGATTAAAAAGGTGTATATATATATATTAGTTATGTGGAAAAGATTCCATTATCTGGCCTGTACTTGGTTACATTGAAGTGGCAGTTTTGGTGACTTCAGAATGGCTCCAGGCATGCTCAGTGCAGATTATTTCTCATTAAACTAATAACATTTATTTTCCTTGCCCTCCCAAAGACTGTGTGGCTTTTTGCCACTTGTCTGTTCACAGGCAGCTCTTCTGACAGCAGGTGGAGTGTTCTGGTGGCTTCCTTGCTTGGTGCAAGGTGAAAGCAAACAGAAGAGGGAACAATTGAGTAGTGCTTATTATTGGTTGTATTTATGCATGTGACTGCTTTCAGTTGTGTTACTTTGTRGTCTTTAAATAAATAAGTGATCCACCCCTCCCCAAAACCCAAAAGTACCTATCAGACTTTTAAAATTATAATTTTCTATGTGAATAGAGCTTKCTTGCCAAGAGTAGGAGGGAAAACAGCATTTGAAATTGAATTTTAAATGAGTGAATTTTTAACTGGCATTTAAAATTTTTAACACATTTTAAGAGGCAGATTATTTCCTCATTTTGGTTTTCTCCCTTCACGACAATTTTTGGAAATTCATTTATTTGTCTTTTGTGATTGTAGTTTTGTTGTATATGTAATAAGTAAGTATTAACATGATTGTTAATGGGAAGGKAAAATTCATCTCCCTATGAAACAAAATTCTCCGTGTGAAATAGCGATGGCTGGAGATGTGATCCTAAATGTGTCTGTATAAATATTTCAAGGACTAAGCTTTCTAATGCTTTTAGTGAAAATTAAATCAYAGTTCTTAATTATTGTCTTCACTCCTTCCATCCAAATTTCCTACCTTTTTTCCTCATCTGGAATATGTTTCTCATATAGTTTTCACACTTTGCAACCCTAAATGGGATCTTCTACTTGAAAAAGTATTCTTCATAATGGCTTTATTTATTTTATGGGCAGTAAAACCCCTCTTAATTTTATGACAGCATTGTCACCACAGTGTTAAATACATTATAATTCTGCAACATTTTCATATTTTAGCTATTATCAAAAGAGTTACATCAGGGGTATCTGACATTATTGTTTGCTGGTATCTTAGGATGAGAAACATGACAAGCCCTGTATCATATCCTTTTCAGCTACTGACCTGAGGTACATGGGAACTTGGAAAASAGCTGCCAGGGGAAAGTCATGGTTTGGACTTCTTTCAGCAGTTTGCCACTTGCTAGATCTAAGTCAGAAAAGGAAAACAACTATTTCAGAATGTCTGTAACTATTATAATACTATGGTCATAGAATATATAATGGTTTCYTTGCATAATAATATGCAAGAAATGCTTTCAATACATAAAAACTTAAGATAGAGGGTTTTTTCAGCCAATTTTTAGGTGATTGTCTTTTCTACACTGAAAAGAAAAAATAGTAACTTCTCCAAATGTGTCCTTGATTAAGATAGGAAAAGAATCAAAACAGGGACTCCCAGCTGGAAAATTGTAGCTCTTTGTACATCTTAAATTGTGGCACTTTAAGCAACTTTGTGTGCCATCACATTGGTTTCTTCCATGTTTAATGAATATGCATAGATTTCKTTATGACTTATTAATTTTGGAGCAAGTGTTCCTTTTGTTGTTTTCTGTTAGCTGTCWTTTCTATAAACACATTATCCTAACCCCATTTGGGAAAGTTCCCTACAGGGTCAGGAACACTCGTATTAAGACAAGACATGATGAGTAACATCATTATCATCATTCATCCTTCCATTTCTTCCATTTGTTTTGGAACACACTTCAGTGTAGCCAAGAAATGAACAATTGTGTTTCATCCATTCCTTTTTGAAACCTGAAGAATTTATTTCTTCAGCTGTTATTACTTATGTGTGCACAATCTGGGCATCTAATGTAAAAAAATCAAATGTTTTAGAGATCAACTTCGTTTGGTGCCCATGAAAGCCTTTGTGTGCTTTTAAACTGTACAGGGACCTTTCACCAAATGTTAAAATGCAGCTTAGTCATTTTCTCAGGTTTTATTAAAATATAGCTGTCATTGTTATTTACAGAAATCGCTTTGCGACTATCAGTCGATTAATCTTCATGTGCAGCCTTGTTTGCTATTGATTTCTGAATCATGGGACGAAAGGGTAAGAAGGCTCATGCTGATTGTGCATGCAAGTGTCCTATTTTTTYGTGCATGACAACAAGGAAAAATTGATTTTGGGGAGTGGGGTAAATTTCCATTATGTGACTAAATAAATGCATGTCTCTGGAAAAGCCAGGGTGAAYTGCTTTTAAAAGTATTTTGGCCTTCCCTTTCCTTGGTATATGAACTTCCCTGCCCACCATTGACCRTTATGAACCTCAGTGGCTTTCTGGGAAATCAGTTTTTTTTGTGAATTGTTGAATGTGAAAGTTAGCTGTGTACACCACTCAAAACTTTTAAAGAATGCTGTTCCATTTCTGGAAGATTACATTATTCAAGATTAATTAATGCAGGAATTAGACAAATGAAGAAAAGGTGGGGTAGGTATATCAGTCAAACTTCCAAGTTTGCCAAGAGTTGGAGAAGCATTTGGACAATGCTCTCAGGCACATAGTGTGATTCTTGGGGCTATYCTGTGCAGGGCACAGGAGTTGGATTTGATGATCTTTGTTGCATCCCTTTGTAATCAGAATATTCTACAATTCTGTGATTCCTCRTGTAACAGCTAGTRGACCCCAAGACTGTTGGCACYTGTRTAACTCAGCGTTTATTTTCATGTCCAGCTTGAGATCTGTTAAAGGTCTCAGTCCTTTTATTTTTTAAGAAGAGCGCAGTTGTGACTCTAACTTGTACTTGGACCTGTTACAGTATTTTGCTGATAACAATCTGTACTTTGGCTGGAAATGGGCACCCCGAATCTTTAGTTGTGATTTAAGAATGCTTACTCACTCCTTAGTAAGAGAATGAGTAAGGAATTCCAATCTAACACTTAGCTATATAATTAYGCTAAATCAGTACTCTTTCCTGATACTTTTGTAAAGCTGTTAATACATAAGGAAATGGGTGAAGATAATGTTTTGTGGATATTTTGTTAGAARTGCACAAACAAATAGACAATAATTKATACTATTAAAMCAAATTTTCCTGTATTCACTAAACTAGAACATAACTGTCTAATGATTAGAAAATGTCTTAGGATGGTGATACCCTACTTAAGATCTTTATATGTGATAAAACACGAGTAGTTATTTTAGTTGGTCTGTGTCTGGCATGATGGAAGTAGCAGAGTTCTTTTGTCATGTAATARCTGCAGTGCAAGCTCTTTTCGAGACTTTCTGTGTGCTTGTGGTTTTTTTAATTAAATGAGTTTGTGACATTGGTTTAGACATRAGCTTGATATTCCTCAGAACTGACAAAACATAATTTTTGCAAATGGAATCTGGTGTTGGAAGTGCAGTGTGGTTAGAAGTACAGGTTGTGGACAAGAACTGCTGGATTGGTGAAGAAACCAATGAGCCAGTGTGCCTACAGATGTCCTGTCTGGTTTCTGCAGAAAAGTGAGACATCCAAGATTTATTGGTTAACAAGATGTATTTATAAAACTACTTCTTTGTGTATAAATACAAAACTGTCTGTCTYCCACACTGACCTCTTTTGGACTGGCTGGTTCAGTTTCATGGGAAACAGAAGTTGTGGTAGTGAAGGGACATACACAGTCTTTAGGTACTGAAGGTGCACAAAAGAGCAAATCCACTGTATTYCACTCTGACTCATTAAATATTAAAGGAGGGAAGAAACTGCTTTTTAATTAGCTGAGATACATGGTTCTAGATAGGAATATGTTCTGGCCTTCTATCCCACTTTTTGGAAGAAAAGCTGCTTTTCAGTTCATGGAGGAAACTTGAAGTAAGACAAAGTGCTCTTAAGAACTAATGGGAAAGATAACAACCATGAGGATATTTTATAATACACATTAATGTAGAAGGAGGGTTGCTTTTTTTCAGTGAAACTTGTGTCTTTCATGTCTGTGTTTAAAACTGTGAGTAATTGAAAAGTAGTTGCATAAAATTCTGTTTGTTGGTTTGTTCAAAAGCTGCTCTTCTGTGAGGCAGCAGAAAGTAGGTAAAGCTGTTTGGAGAGAAAGGAAAATGCATAAAATAGAGTATATTGGCAGCTTCAAGGACCCGTTCGTGATAATATGTAAAGAGATTTTTTTGCTTAGATTTTTGGTTCCATATTCTTTTAACGTTCTTTTTCTTTTAATAGAAACACGTAAGTTTCCATGTCCAAATGGCAATATCTCATTTTGTAAATGCTTTCTGGGAAAATCTAACAACTAGGAATAGATACAAGCAAAGTACTTAATTGAAGATTGGTGATACTTAAACAAGAATTTGAATTCTGAAGCCTAAATATCCTCTGTGACACTGTATTTCAAAGTAACATTATAACAATTTTTTGGCATTTAATTTTTCAGTAATGTCAATATCGTTTAAACATTTCTGTTACTGAACAGGAACAGATGCTTTGTCATGTTTTGAACTCTGTGTATATGCCTCAGAGGAATTGCTGAACTCTGTTTCTCAGTAAATATCACAGTATGGTTCTAGATTCACAGAAACACTTTCTTCCACTCCTGTTACTTTCTGTGGATGCTGTGCATGTGTGCTGGAAATAAAATTTATGTAATGTGTGATTGAACTACTTATGAACAGAACATTTTTCTTTTAGTTAGGAAATGTTTTTCAAAATCTGTGTGTATGTGCTGAAGTCTGTGGCTGGGTTTGCTCAAATAGAGGTAAAACTTGTTCTTGAAGCTCTGGCCATGCTTATGTTGGTATTTGGGATGTTTTAATAGAAGAAACGATCTATAGAAAAACAAACTCTTATATGTCCTATAAACAGATCAGTGGTTTATGCTGAACTAGATAAAATCTAGTTGCCTGTGCTAAGCTTGCCTTCTTCATTCCAAAGAAGGCCTGTGAACCTCTACTTCCTCATCATCAGGACTTCTAATCGTGACATACATGCATTTTTATCTCACAAAATGCTTCTCATGTCTTGTTTTTCAAGTGACAGTGTGGTACCTGCTCCCTGGTCTGTTTCAGCCCTGTGCATTTGGGCAGCATGAGCTGCAAGGCAGGAGTGGAGAATTAAATCCTCCCATCCTGCRTACTGTAGTCATAGATACCTGTGATGGGGACATGATACAACTGGTCTGAGCCTTCTTTTTTTTCTTAGGAAAAAGATGGACAGTAGCATAAGAATCTGTGAGTCTTACCCCTACAACTGTATTCCATCCCTGTGGATTGGGTTGAGAAAGCAAACGGCATAGTGTTAAGAAAATGGGCAAAGTAGCAGCCATAAGAAAAATTCTTCATGCATCTTCACAGTCAGGTTTTTCAAGAACAAAGTTTCAGATGTTTATCTTCCCCTAAGAGGACTTGAAACYCTGGGCATTTGCTGACCAGTTACTCAYTGGTTTGAAGGGGACTTGTYATCTGTAGGGCAGGTGATAGTTTAYCAGTRCCATCCTTATAGCTCTGTTCARATAATGAAAACATGTAGTATTGACAAAGTCTTCATATAATTCCAAAAGCAGAGAGTGTTTGACACTCTTCTGTCAGTTTCTGGGTGTAGGGAAGCAACAGCTTGAAAAGCAGAAGAGATTACTATRTAATGGAGATTTCAGTTGACCAAGAAGGTGGAATTGTACACATCTTGGCAACTTTCCCATATGTCAGGAGCCATTCCAGTTTCTTTTGTGATGCTGACCCTGAAATTAAAACTGCTSAAAAGAACTGTTCATGGTGTTTGAGTGACTGTTTGTGTTCTGAGATGCCAAGTAATCCCTATGTGGTACTGCCCTAAGCTTGAGAATTTTAGGTCCCCTTAATTGTAACTCCTAGAGTTGTGTCCAGACCTGTGCTCTTGTCCCAGTTTCCCATTGATGCCTCTCTCATCCTCATGTAGACGTGGGGGTGTTACTCTGAAGGTAATAGCTTAATCCACATGAGTTGCTGTAGCAAAAACAGAAGTGAGCAGCAAGTGTTAAAACAACCAAATAACTCTTGTTTACTGGGAAAAAAAGCTGTATCCAGTAGTATGAGGAAGTGCAATGGAATGGGAAATGTGGAATATGTAGATTAAAAACTTTAAAACTAAAACTGGGCTTGGGCAGAGTGGCATAAACAAAGTCCCTGTCAGCAGTATGCTGGGCTGCCTGGAGTTGGAATTGGGAAGAAAAGGTATGACCAGCTTGAGCATCTGGGAGGCACGATAGCCTGGACTTGGTCACCAAAGTTTATTCAGTTTAGCCAAGTATATATATTTTTACCTGTAGTTGGCCAGCCTGCTAATCAAAAGTATAGTTTGAAGGCTCCAGAGGCAGACAGTGACCTGTTTAGAATAATTTTACCTCTGGCACCCTTCAAGAACTGCTCATTACCCATCTCTGGCCACCCTGGCGATAGGTGAAGTGTTGCTGCTTGGCCTATTATCTTTCAGCCATGCCTTGTGTAGTATCTTTCCTCTCTTTCTGTGTGTGTCAATCTGGAGGTGGGCCAGCCTCTTCTGTAGAATGGCCTTTGGTATTGGATGTTGCTCTTTAACCTGCAACAAGGGGGGAACAAGTTGGTAGGAGAGGTTGCAAGTGTTGCCGCCCCTCTTCCCAGTGGAACTCGTGGAGTGTAAAGCAAGTTAATTGGCCTTCAAACACAAATGAAGTTCACAGCACTCTCCTCTGTCACCTGCAACTCTGCACCTGGGATACAGGATTCTGAAAATGGCTCATCTAGGTTAAGTAATAGCTTAGGGTCGAGATGAAGCCAGGCTTTRCACAGGATTGTCTGGAACTGGGAGGCTTCTATGCCAGGATCATCRCTGTGCTAGGGAGACTCCATTCACTGGTACCCATAGATGTTGGGAGGAGCCAGGTGTTTGGACAGGCAGAGACAGGTCAAAATATTTGTATTAAGTAGCAGGAATAGAAAGAGGCTACTGTGATAATGTCAATCTTCATTTGCTTTTATTATTCTGAATTAAGTAAAGAATGCCCTCCTGGCTCTGTGTGTTACTGGATGTGCACAGTGGGTGTTTTGTCAGTTTTTGGAGTCTGCTCCATGCTCTGCTGTTTGCCTGGATGGGGGAAGAATAGCAGTT